TAAACAACCGTTAATCTTTTCGGAGTATACCTATCCTGATAGTTTTCGACGTGCCAAATCCGTTTCCGCTGTCCGTTTTGTCAAATTCGAACCCGAAGGACTCCAAATCGACGGTCAAAGTAGTTGACTTTGACTTTGACCAAGAATCTGAATTTTCAAAAAAGTCATACTTTATGTTTTTCGACGTCCTGATTCCGATTCCGCAATTCGTTTGGCCAAATTCAGACTCGAAATACCCCAAATTGATAGTCAAACCCGAAAAATTCTTATATACTTAAGAAGTCTAGTTTTGAACAATTAAATAGGATTTGGGACTGATAGATTATTATTGTTTGAAGGTACAAGAGACTCTCCGGATCGTTCGACAACTCGACCCAGCTCTTCTAGATCAGTTAAACCACGTGTGCCATTATTCACGCGTTCGAAAACTGTAGCAGAGCGTGGTGAAACCAACAATCAGTAGATTTACTATTTGAACCTATTGTCGAGGTGTGTTCCCTACTTATTACTGAACTGTTTTATTGGTTTTAATATATGGTACACCGAATTCATTTGGTTATTGTTTTATGGATGCACCAATTTAATGTACAATTTATGGAATATGGCTGCTATCTAATTTTTTTGTTTTGAAATGGTATATGATTACCATGTTTTTGGATTTATGGAATTTATGTCACGGTGCAATTGAATTTTGGAATTAAATTACGATGGAATAGCTCTGATCAAGCTAAATAGGCCTAATGTGACTCTTGAGGGCCCCAAGATGTTTCATTAGGTCGGCTTTCCTTTGCTGTGTGCTTTGGGTAAGCTATATGAACTTATTGACTTGGGCTTAAGGATACAAGCTTCAGAGCCTATCCTTAAGTCGGCTTTCTTTTTGCTATGTGCATAAAGTAAGCTATATGAAAAATAATTTTGAGAACTACTGATGGTGTAACAGAAAAGGGTTTAAACTATGACTTTCAAAAGTTAAACTCTTTTACGAATTTGTGAGATTACTGGACTATGATTTGTACCTATTGACATTTTATAGAAATGTTGGGACACACTGAGCCTAGCTCACCTTTTGAAATGTTCCCCCTTTCAGATACTGTGGTTAGATACCTCGATTCGAGCACTTGGAGGATCAACATATCTCTTGAAATAAATCAGATTGTAATGTTTTTATCTTGCAAGTTGACTTTATTTTGGTGACATGGACCTTATTTTAAATATCGGATTTTATAATGATGACTCTTTTGCTATTACTGTTCGGTTTATTGTGATTTTGAATTTGAAGACATGTTTTAAATTAAATTATTTATTGGTACTATATTTACGAGTTGGATTTTGATAGTATAATTTGTTTATAATTTCATGTTATTATAATGTGATTTTATATTGATGGAATAACGATTTCGGAAAATGTCTTTAATAATCATAATGTGATCCACTAGACTTAGTCGAAACGCATAGGTCGGGTCTAGGGGGTTACAATTTTGTAGCTCATGCATTTTTTTCTGGGCTTTAACAGATCAGATATTGCCTGAAAAGATGCTAAATACGCCATAATCTGGGAATTTCTACGAGATGAATTTGAATTAACTCAAAGATTTGCAGGTCTCGATTTCAAGTTGAAGTTCGTTGAGGTATGATATTTGCTCTCTTAGAATTGTCGTCTTTATGAAAAAGCATAGATGCGGAAATGTCCCACATATATATACAATGAAAACAATGGTCATAAATGATATTGTACATGTTTAGCTTCTAACATGTGACATCCCTGCTTCTTCTTTTGCAGCACAACATTTTTCTTCAAGAAATTCTTCAAAATAGGAAATCAGATTTTCTTGAGTGGCTCATCATTGTGTTGATAAGCGCCGAAATCGTCATCTCTCTTTATGACCTCGTCAAGAGGTCTTTATGACCCTTGAATTCAAGATTAGTAATTTTTCACATTGTCAAGACTATTTCTCATCAAAAGTGGCTTTTGCTGTACATTTACTTTCTCTAGTTAGCTTTTGCTGTAACGATTAGATTAACTACGTCTACATGACCATTTCATTCTTGTAAATGATATGGGTTCATAAAGGAATTTATTGTCATTAATCAAATTGGTTTAATTAAGAATTTATTGGTACTCATTGGTTAAAGGAATATTTATTTCTAGAGGTTCCAAGCACCAGAGATTACAAGATATTTAGGCATTTATTATCAAATAATTGAGAGTTTTTAGAACGTATACCATTGTAGGGGTGTGCAAGACTACCCGACCCGGTTGACCCGACCTGCTGACCCGTTAACCCGGACCTAAAAAATCGGATAATTTTCTTAAAAAAATTACCGGCCGGGTCGGGCCCGGGTCACAAAATCTAATTTTTTCGGATACCCGGTTAGTTTTTATTTTTGTTTTTTTATATATATATAAAATATAATGAATTATTTATATTATGGATTATTAGATTTTGTATTTCTAACTTTTAAATTTTATGTTCGGATATTAGAATATGTAATTCGAAGTTTCGAACATTTAAATTTGTGTATATTTTTTTAAAATTAATAATTTGAAAATAAAAAATAAAAAAACCTGATACCGGGTACCCGCAAAATCTGGGTCGGGACACGGGCCGAGAAATCACCGACCCGGATGTTACTGGGTACCCGAAAATCAGAGTACCCGGATTTGCATACCCCTATATACCATTACTTGAAAGCACCCTAGATTAATCTAAAAATTTACATGAACAGTAACAATAGGTTGTTTAAGGGTTTATGCGATAGCGAGTCTAATATATTTGTTCAGGAAATAGTTAGTACAATAGGTTGATACCGTAAAAAAATGCTCATCTTTGTTCTGTTGGAAACATTCAGGATTTGTTGATTTCTTTTTGGTGTAACTATCGGTTTCTGATCTATTGATTGACTAATCTAAATAGGGTATTATAAAGGCGGTGGCGATTCTCTTAACACAGTTTGTTCCATTCGCAATCGTAACGTCAGGATGATTAACTGGTTGTTGGATAGTTGATTTCTTTTGATTTGCTGGGTGCTAGTATGAGATATTTTTGTTTGTTATGTACCGAAGTTATACTTTCTGTAGCAAGTTTAACTGCTTCTTGAATAATAAATATAAATTTATAAAGAAAATGGATAGAATTCTTTTGAGCCCTAATCCATTGAATCATAAAAGTGCATGTTTCATTATATCATCGAAGGCTCTATAACAAACATCGTGAACGAGGTTAATGATCCCATGAACGTTCTCAAGGCGATATCGACATCATTGTTTGTCGACATTTGAATTAAAGGGATGATGCCGTTATTGTTTTCGAATCGAAATGAGCAACGGGGAACGATCATCACTGTTTAAACAAGTCAATCATTGAAGACAGTGTAGAAGGCCATTGTTGGATGCCGTAAGTAAACCAGATTCCCACAATGGGAGGTATAACGTTCGAGGCATGACGTGCATGGAATCAAATGACGAAAAGTAATAGAATATAATATTTGAATTTTTAGATGAGAATTTTAAAATTCTGACTTAATTAACGTTAGATATAAAGTTAACAATTGTTTATACATTAATAATAAATCAAAGGAACTATATAAATATTTGTTATTATTGTTTAAAAACTATGCGAAGCAGTTGATCATACATCACTTCTCTACAGTTTGATTTTTACTTGCCGAAAAGGGAAAAAAAAGCCTTTATCCTCGTAAAAAAAGGAATGTCATCAAGCCCCCAGAAAATCCAATGGAAACATGCCACCTGCAATGATAACAGTAGTGGAATACGTGTTTACTGTCCTTGGATCTCTTTGGAGAACACTGGAATTATTACTATATTTTTCTTCACTGTTGCCGAAATACCAAACGAAACAGAAGAAAGTACTTTTCTCTCTTTCAAAACCCCAAACCCTCGAAGCCCCCCCCCAACGAGATCTATCGAAGGTAAACATAAATTCTTCACCTTTTCATCTTTTTCTAAAACTTATGATATGAAGATTTCATCTCTTGATATATATCGTTCCTTCCATTTCCCCTGCGATTTCTCAGTTTCATGCTTCTGTCAGCCTTAGCTTGAGTTTTGTTTAGGGTTGATCGATTTTATTTTATTTTATTTTTCGTTTCGTTCTTTGGAGTTTTTTAATGTTGGAGCTTTTTTTTATTGATTTTGAGAAATACCCAGATTAGTTCTTGTATGGATAAAACTAAAGAGAAGGGTGGTTTATTAGTAATGCTACAGATTTTTTTTAGCTGTTGTTAGTGAACTGTAGTTGAGTTTATAGCTTATTTCTTTCTCTCTTTGTTTTATCGCTGTAACTTTATGTGGTATGAAAATGTGTATTTGATCATTTTTCTTAAAAATTTTAATTTCAATTTCCGGATGATTTGAAAATACTCAGGTCGGTTATTGAATGGATGAGGCTAAAGGGAAAGGTGGTTCCCTGAGTGTTGCTACAGAATCTTCATTAACTGTGAAACTGTTGTGAGACGGAGGGTCAAATTCCCATGGAGGAAGGAGGGGAAGAGGAACCTAGTAATGGAGATGATATATGGTGGAAGTTCTGGGTTCTCATGTTTATGTGGATGGTATTTGTACTACTGATGGGGGAGATGGAGGTAGATTGGGACGGTTCAAATGATGAAGCGGTTCATGGTCCTGGTGACTCTGGTGGAGTTGGTATGGAGGGTAATATGCTCAACCTAAACAGTGAAGGCGACGAAGCTGGTGATTAGGTTCTAGGAGTGAGGTTTCTGGTGGTGAAGCTGGAAGGGATAAAGGTGAGAGAGATGCAAATCAAACTTTGGTGGCACAAAAAGTTGGTGATTTAGATGGTAATGACTTAAACCGGGAGAACAGAAAGATGTCGAATGTTCATCCGTTGCATCCAAAGATTCAATGGTGCAAACTAAAGTTGTTGAGGAAGTTGCAATGATGATTGAAGGGGACAATTTGAATACTCTGGATGGTTCTTGTGAAACTATATCTGACACAAAGAAGCTGCTGATGTTGGTGTATGCTAACTCATCAGATGTGAAGTCACAGATTACTGCAGAAGATGTCACCATTCTAAGGCTAAAGGTATGAAATTAGTTATTTGATCACAATTTGAATTTCAACGTTGAAGGAAGGAATGAAGTTTTGAGAGTGGTGGGTAGCACTGAAAAAATATCTACAATGTCCATGCAGATGTGGTTGTTCATATCAATCAACTATATCGGTTGTTGAAAGTGGATTGGATGAGAAGGTACTTCAAAATTCTGATTCTGCCAATGGTTAATAACTCTAATGTGTAAACCTAGCCTAACTTTTTTTTCTTCTGCAGGTTAACACAAACAAGGAAACTGAAAAGCAAGGTGCTGATTTTGAACAAAGGCATATGGAAGTTGATATTCCTCATCGTAGCTCTGAAAATCATGCAGGTAAAATTGCTAGAGTCCATCATGTATTCTCTTATATATATATATTATATATATATATAGGCAAGATCCATTGACAGATTGTAAAACTTTCTAAAACTTAAAAGTTTTACACTTTTTGGATCGTTGGATAAGTGAAAACAGATGGTTGAGATTAGCATTAGGAAATGAGAAGATTTTACGGAAAGAAAGAGAAGGATTATCCTTAATTTAAAAGTTTTAATCTCATCCATTAAATCATTAATCCAAGGATCTAGTGATCCACAAAAAGCGTAAAACTTGAAGTTTTACACCGTGTAACCTAACACACATATATTATATGGTTACAACAATGTTGATTTGGAGAAGTTTTATCTTGCTCAGGAAATGACCGAAGCATAAAGTCTGCGACAGTAATTGATGGAGCAGAGGAAGTTGATTCAAGTCTTGGGGCTGCAATGGATGTTCAAAGCAGGTTCCTGATTCAAAAAATGATGGTTTTGATGCTGATAAGATGTTAAAGTGGAAGAAAAGTCTGTTGAAATTGAGACAGTGGGTGTTGGCTCTGAAAACCATGAAGCCTCAAAATCTGATAACAATTTCGAACCAAGTACTTTCCCCAAATTCTTTGGGAAATGCAGATCTGCTAGCTGAGAATGCAGCTTCTAAGGGTGATTCCAGGGTAGCACAAGATATGAATGTTGAAGAACAAGTTTCTAGTGATGAACATGATGGTTTAGACCAATTGCAAGAAAGAAGTTGAAGAACATGATTCTGATCCTGAACAGCCAACCAACTTCGATGAAAAGACTGTTACACGAATGGCTCTGAGGTCTGCGAGTGCAAAAGGTGCATCAAACTAGGTACCAGCTGCCATCAGAGGAAGGCGAATTTTCGGTTTCTGATTTAGTCTGGGGAAAGGTGAGGAGTCATCCATGGTGGCCAGGACAGATCTTTGATCCTTCAGATGCTTCTGAGAAGGCGGTTAAGCATCATAAGAAGGATACCTATCTGGTTGCCTATTTTGGGGATCGGACATTTGCTTGGAATGAAGCTTCTGTTTTTGAAGCCATTTCGACCACATTTCTCTCAGATTGAGAAGCAGAGTAATTTAGAAGCATTCCAATGCTGTCGATTGTTCTTTGAAGAAGTGTCTAGACGGACAGAGTTAGGATTAGCTTGCTCTTGCATACCTCAGGATGCTTTTGATAGAATAAAATTCCAAATGTTGGGAATGCAGGTGTTCGGAAAGAACAAGTATAAGAGATGTTGATAAGTCTTTGTGCTAGTTCTTTTAAACTTGATAACTTAGTTAACTATATGAAAGCATTAGCAGAGTCTCCAGCTGCTGGGGGTGATCGACTTGACCTTGTGATTGCTAAAGCTCAGTTGTTAGCTTTCTATCGTTTAAAGGTTATCATCAGTTGCCTGAATTCCAATCCTGTGGAGATTTAAGTGAAAATGAAACAAAAACCTCACATTCTGAAAAGAAAATGCATTTCGGTGAGGTAATTGAGCTAGTACTCTCTTGGATACCGATGGTGAGCAATTTCCAGTGGGAGAAACTTCACAAACTAAGAGACCGTTACCTAAGCGTAAGCATAATCTGAAGGTGTATCCTAGTAAAAAGGAAAGAAGCTCTGAATTAATGGGTGAGACATTTGATGCTCCTGATGCTGAAAATGGGCCTGACGGGATGGCTAATAAGCTTCCTTCATCATCATTTGGAAAGAAAAGAAAAGCTGTTGATTCCTTTGAGGACTCGATGCAAGACGAGAGGAAGACAGTTCCTCTTGCCAAAGTGTCTCAAACTCCACCTCATTCCCCAAAGCCTTCCTTTAAGATTGGTGAATGCATCCGTAGAGCTGCAAGTCAAATGGCAGGATCTCCATCGATTCTGAAGTCTAGTGGTGATATGTTACCGAAGATTGATGGAGGCAGTGAAAATCCCGCTGCAGATGGAATGATGTTCCGATCGAGAATTTCGATGACGCACTGCAAAAGATGACGAGTTTTATGTCAAATCACTCATCACTAGTTTGGGTTGTTATCTCAACTTCACGAGTCAGCATGCGATCCAAGGCGAAGTTCTTTAGTTTAATTGTCAACTTCTTCTCTAACTTCAGAGATTCAATTGTTGTGGATCAACCTCCTGGGGACAAAGTAGGTGACAAAAGGAAAAAGTCTCCCAATACTATTTTTGGTTCTCCAGAAACTTTTGAGTTTGAGGACATGAACGATACTTACTGGACTCACAGAGTAGTTCAAAATGGTTCGAAGAGCAACCGGTACATGGAAATGGAAATGGACAATATGAAATAGTGCCTGTTCAATTAGAGAAGCCACTTCAAAAAGGCCGTAAGTCTCGAAAAAGGTATTCTGTTGGTAATAATGATTTGTCCACTCAGAAACCCCCTGGCTATGTCGATGAGAAGGCTCCTGCAGAACTTGTCATGAATTTCACTGATATTAATTCTGTCCCTTCGGAGACAAAGCTAAATAAGATGTTCAAGCACTTCGGACCATTAAAGGAAACTGAAACAGAAGTCGATCGCGAAACCAGCCGTGCAAGAGTTGTTTTTAGAAGATCGTCTGATGCTGAAGTTGCCTACAATAGTGCTGGAAAGTTCAACATCTTTGGGCATGTGGCTGTAAATTATCTACTCAACTACACTATATCTGAATCATTCAAAGCTTCATTGTATGCTCCAACCCTAGCTGAGGAGAATCCACTCATGTCTTCATCTCTATGTGGGGATCATGCTCTTGTTGCCTCAACCCTGGGCGAGGGAAGTTCACACTTTCCTCCAAGCCTAGTGAGGAAGCTTCATTCATGGTTTCAACCCAGTGAGGAAAATTTACCCATTGCTACAACTTTCCATGAGGAACTTCAGTCATCCTTTGGTGAGGGCAGTTTGGCCATTCCGACTACCTTAGGCAATCAAAATTCAGGCCTCGACACAAGCATGTATGAGCAGACTTTGCCCATCGCTACAAGCATGTATGAGGAGACTTTACCCATCTCCACGAGCATGTATGAGGAAACATTGCCAATTGCTACAACTGAAGTTGAGGGAACAATGGACATTGCAACAACTATTGGTAATCAAACTTTGACTGTTGTTACAACTGTAGGTGAACAATTTTCAACAGTTGTTACAACTTGTAGTGGCAGACCTCAAAGGTTTCAACATTTGAGGAAGCTTATCCTTTCTCCACAACTTTGAGCAAAGAACTTCAACCATCACCACAAACTTGGGAGAGGAAACTTCAATGGTTAATGTAAGCTTGGGTGAGGAAAATTCAGGCTTCGTTACTGAAGGTCAAGAAACTTCAAGCTTTCCCACAGCTTTTGGTGAAGGAACTACTGCCAATCCTGTGACCTTAGAAGAAGAAAATCCTAGTATTCCCAGAACCTCAGGTGAAGAAACTCCAGCTATTCCCTCGGTCGAAGAAACCCCTATTGTTCCCAGAACCTTGGGTGAAGAAACTCCAGCCATCCCTGTGGCAGAAGAAACCCCTAGTACTCCCACAACCTTAGGTGAAGAAACTACTGCTATTCCCTTGGCGGATGAAGCCACTAGTATTCCCAGAACCTTGGTTGAAGAAACGCCAACTATTACTGGCCGAAGAAGCCCCTAGTATTTCCAGAACGAAAGAAACACCAGTCATTTCCATGGAAGAAGACTCCCCTAGCATTCCCAGAACCTTGGCTGAAGAACTCCTGCCATTCCCTTGGCAGAAGAAACCCCCAGTATTCCCAGAACCTTGAGTGAAGAAACTCCAGCCATTCCCTTGGCAGAAGAAACCCTTAGTATTCCTAGAATCTTAGGCGAAGAAACACCAGCCATTCCTGAAACTTTCAGTGAAGAAACCCCGTCCATTCCTCCAACGTCAACTGGAGAAACTCCTACAATTTTTCCAACTTCCAGGGAAGAAACTCCTACTCTGCCTCCAACCTTGGGTCAGGAAACTCAGACCACTCCTTCAACCATGGTTGAGGAAACCACAATCATTCCTGCAACCTTGGACAAGGATGCTGCAACTCTTCCTGCATCCTTGCATGATGAAACTCCGGCTATTGTGACGACTTTGGCTGAGGAAACTCCAATTACCACAAACTTGGGTGATGAAACTCCAACCAGTCCCACAACCTTTGTTGAAGAATCTGCAACTATTCCGACAACCTTGGCCGAGGGAACTTCAACTATCTCGACAACCTTGGGTGAGGAAGCTTCAACTGTTCTCACAACTAACGGTGAGGAAACATCAACTGTTTCTACAAATACTGAAACTGAGTCATCTCCCCCTGAAGTGGCTGGAAGCAAGGAAAATTCAACTTAGTATCTCCACTGCAAAATTTACTTGGAAATTTCAGGTATTACTTCTCTTATCTGTATGAAAGCGTTTAACTTGATGATGTTAGAATAATGACAGTTCTCATCTGGCTTTGTACAAACCATTATGGAGACGATGAGAGTGCAGGTCCAGTGAATTTCTTTTCACCTCCTGCACTTAAACTCATTTAGTGGACAAGTATGGTTACTATTTTTTGTATTTACAGGCTGATAATAGGTGTAAGATCTGAAATAACTGAATCTGTATTACTATGTATGCCACCACCAAGATCAAATGGCAAGAATAGGAGCAGCTATTATTTTACATTTTGGATCCCAAAGTTTAGATCTCCAGGCTAGTTGGGTTGGGGATAAATGTTTTAATTATTCTCTCTTTTGAATAGATAACCGTGAGGTCGGAGTTGATGGTTTATATTAGTTCTTCTTGAAACCATCTCATTTTAAAGGTGCATAAAGCTGAAGGATTGATGCATCATGGGATTGTACAAAAATATAGTTTATTCAGTTTCTGGCTATGTTGCACGGATACGGGGACGGAAAACGGTAATTTTTAAAATTACAGGGTACGAGGACGGCAAGGGTACGGCATATAAAATAATTTTAAAATTATAAATATATATAAAAAATTATAAATAAAGTCAAATAAAAATATCAACTTGGCATGCTCCTTGACCAATTCATTTCGCTCAATAAACAGTTCCAATTCGGCAATTGCAATTTCCTCCATCTCGCCTCTAAAGTTGCCTTCATTTCACTGTCAACCATATCTAAACTATGCTTTAGAAGTTCCTCTTCTAAGCCAGACACACGAAACCTCTTATCAAACAAATTACTAACCGAACTCTTAGGCACCTTATCGACCTCCATTGGCACCCCAATATCTGCTTTCTTATCAGGTGAAGAATGAAACTCTGCTTTCAATGCAACCACTGCCTTGTTATTTGCCTTGGCTTTCCCATTGGATTTAGCAGCTGAAGACTTAACTTTCCCACTAATCCCCTCTTTTCCCTATAACTTTTTCGACAGTTCAAATGCATTATGTTCATGGGCTTTAGAGAAACTTCGATCCTCACCCTTTTTACCTTTCCCGGCATTGTTCTCAAACTTTTTCTTTAACCTTCTAATCTTATCCATCAACTGTGCTTTCGTAACATCAGTAATTCAGTATGAATCGATTTCTTAACAAAATCATAAAATGCATTCATATCAACACAAGGATCAGCCTCTTTTTTAGCAGAGTAATCCAACATACCTTTCAACAGTCTCGGATATGGGTTTCTTCGCGTTCATGTCTTCCATGGGTTCGTCGCAAGAGGCTTGACATTCGGCATAGCCGTGTCGGATTCGGATTCCGACTCAGTCCCGGATTCCTCAGATTCTTCATTCCCCGCGACGGCTATCGCAGGATCAAGCTTCCTGGGAGGTGGGCTCTTTTGGATCAATGGAGTAGACTGGGTTTGGGGTTCTTCATCCTCTTCTTCTTCCTCGGCTGAAGATCCCACTTCTTCATCCTCGGAGGTTGTCTCCTCAGCCAAAATTACCTTTGGGTACGTCCCCGAAACGTCCCGGATAAGCTTTGACCGTCCCCCATTTCGATCAGCCGTACCCTACCACCGTGGCACGTCCCCGGTACGTCCCTCAGCCGTCCCCGAACCGTCCCCGTACCCGAAACGTATCGGGTACTTGAAACGGGTCTCCTTTGCCGTCCCCGTGCTTCTTAGGTTTCTGGTGGCTTGAAGTTGGATAAATGAACTACCAGTCATGCATAATGACTGACATTTTATGATACAAATTCTTCTGTTTTGTTAAGCTGTAACAATATCGCCTTCTGCGGTTAAATCTTATTCTTGATTATTTCATGCAATCGATATAGGGGAGAACATACCCTGAGGTTAAGGTGTCAGTGTGTGGCTCTGGTAGGCGCTTGATTCAACTTGTGACTGAAGAAGGCAACCGGCCACCCTTCAGCTCGGATTTTATTTCTTGAATTATGCTATAAGCTGCATGACGGTACACGCATGCTCCGACTAGTGTAATGTAATAGCATTTTTAGATGATTTGACGTATCCTTGAGGACTAGGAGAATTGCATTGTAGATCATGGCTGCCCAACGGGTGATGATTTTTCGATTTTCAGTCGTTACGTGACTTCACTGCTGCTTCATCCTTCCGTTTCTCGTGCATTTCGATCAGCATGGGAAAATACTGCTATAATCAGTAGGGGTGGCATAATGGTGTTAGGTATATTTACCCACTTATTTTTAATGCTAAAACATGATGTATGGGGGATTGCAAGGCTTTGGCTTGAATAGAAACCTAATAGATGCCAAACCCTTAATTCAATATAAATCTTTTTTAATGGCCCCATTGTTTTAAGAGGATTACACAGCATGTTTTTATCAACATTTTGATTTTAAAAAATGTAGTTTAAATAAATAAGACAACCCTATGGTAAGGGTAAGTTTTCAAGTTCTTAAAATTAAAGAATGAAAAAGGGCCGTGGGAAACATGCCTTCTCTTCTTGTGTCTCATTTCTTTCTGATTTGATTTGAACAAATTTAATTATCAAGCAAATAAAATGAGAATTAAAATAGCTGAAGTTTAGCCTTAGTACATGAAAAGGTTGGCATTGTTTATATGTATTCTTGTATACATTAAAATATTTATAATTTTAATTATTAAATGAAGTATAATCATATTTAAATACATTTGAAGTAATGACCTTTATAATATTATAACAACGGTGTCAATAAACTAAAGTTCGATCAATATTTATATATATTTTTTATTTTCTATTATAATTCAAACAAAAGAATTTATAATTTATCAATAATATTAATTGAAAACTATAATTCTGATATGAATTATTATAATGTATATTGTCAGTTAAATTCATTCTACAAGTACTATGATTTAAGTAATGATAGAAGTTTCAATGTGAATTTTTAAATAGACAAGTGAAACACATGTTTGTGAAAATAATTTTATTGATAGTATATAAAATAATAATCAAATTATATTTTTAGATAATAATTAATATTATGTTAATAATTTTTTTTATTTTTATATGATTTTTAAACAATATAAATTATTCATTTAAGAATCAAAATTATGTTCAATTTAATTTACATCTAAGATCTTTAACACTCAATCTATAATTATTATTAAATAAACTTTTTAAAAAATAATTTTTACATAAAATGTTTTATTCCACATATGAAAAATTTATCATATTTCAAAAATTAAATAATTAATTTTATTATTTGAAAGTATTTTTCTTTAGCAGTTATTATAGATGGGTCATCGTCGTTTGATTATAAAAACTTGGTCGTTTTGATGACTTTATGATATTTCCATTTTTAAGACAACAAAATTGGATTGTTCCTATCTAAATTCATGCACAAAACACGCGCTCCACTAATCAAATTAATTAGCAATAATTACAAATTAATTGTCAAAATCTTCATTTTCTATGTTTTTTAAAGTTCTTCACTTTCCCTCCCTTTCTCTCTCTTTTTTTTCTCGGTTAGTTTCTTTATATGCCTTCAACTCCAAATCCAATGCAAAGGAAAAAAGAATAGAGTAATCTTGAAGAAGAAAATGTCGTCCAAAAGAGATATTTTGTACGAATTTCAATTCCCTGGTACGTTATTCATTCTGGGTTTTATTATTTTCTTTGTCTGGATGTTGAGAAAAAAACACTGGATAGTTAAACATGCTTTCATCAATTCTCTGTTTCTTTGTTGGCTTTGAAAGGTTTGGATTTTACTATTTTTCTGTAAAGAAAAAATCTTTATGTTTGGTAGGCTATCATATTTTAAGGAAATTATATATTGATGATCTTCAAGTTTTAGTCAAATTCCACTACCACTATAGAAAAACTGCATCAGGATTGAATTTGATCAAGTCATTATGAAAAAATTTAGTTTAAGCCATTAAAATTGGGAATGCAATTAGGATTTAATTTGAATATCGGATTGTTCTTTTCCTTTCTTACTGTACTTTCATTGACTAAATCAATTTCTTGATGGAATATTATTGATTTAGAAGAGGCTTCAAGCGACAGAAAAAGATTGATATTGATGAATTCAGGCTGATTGAGGCTTCAAAAGATGAACTAAAGCATAAGGAAGAAGAAAAAAAGACTGATGGATTCGAGTCCAAGTATGATCTTCGCAAGAGTTTGGCCTGGGACAGTGCCTTTTTCACAAGTCCAGGTTGGTTTTTAAGCTTTCAAAATGACTGATAAAATTACCAACTAATTTCAACATCATTTTGAAAGCCTTTTTCGCTTTCATTGTCGTTATTGTTGTGAAATTTTGTTCATTTTCTAAGGAGTTTTGGATCCTGAAGAGTTGTTTGAGACTTTGAACATTAATGCTGGAGAAGGGACACAAGGAACCAAGTGGTTTACCTTCGGAATCCATGGCAGCGAGTAGAATCGGAGATTGCATTGCCCGGAGAAGTTTAGCTTGGGATGCTGCCTTTTTCACCAGTGCAGGTATACTTATTTACACTAGGTATAAATGAGTCCTTAGCAGCTTAGCCTCAAAAGGAAGGAGTCACAAATATCTGGATTCAAGCCGCTTTGAAAGCGTAACTACATGAACCAATTTGCTAAGTTCGGGTTCCTTGTTATAGCATATTTGTCTCACCATATAGTTTTCCAGATCTAAGACTTACTTTTCTTTTAATGCTTAGGGGTATTGAATCCAGAAGAGTTGTCTTTGGTAAACAATGGATATAGGAAGTCTGAAACAGTACCACATATACTTCCGGGAATCGAGCAAGAGTTTTGGAAATCTACTGAATCAGACTCTGCGTTGGATAGTGATTACTCCTTGTCAAGTCTTGAGATTGATCTTTTTGATGATATGAGAGCTTCAATGCAAAAGTCAAGCAAAGAATCCAATATGTTGAATTCCAGTAGCAAACTTCAAAGTCAGACTGGCATTCCAAATTCCCATTGTAAGAATCTACTGCTTTGAACTATCTTCAGTGGGAAGTAAACGGAGTGAAATAATTTCTGTCTAGTTTTCAGGTTGCTTCTTTGTTTTTGCAAGTAAACTATGTTACATGGAATTGGGTTTTAGTGTTGGATTCGGGTATATGTCAGGCATGTTAACTTTTTTTCATGTATTTGGAAGGTCATATTCCCATCTCCAAGTCCATAAAATTCAAGAATCGGACTTACAGTACAAGTAACTTATATTCTATAGGCTTAGTTAGGATTAGCACACAAAACTAAATGCTTTTCTAGTTAAAAGTAATAACTTCAAGTTCATATGATTGTTATGAATTTGTTCTTGGATTTTCTTTTGCCTTGTGCTTATCAAGTCTGCTTTTTCTTTGCAGTTTCAAAAAGGCGGGATACAACTTCAACGAGGGTTTGTATTTTTTTTTTTAAAAAAATTTGGGTGAAATCAAACATTATTTATGCCTTTTTGATGCTCATTCATTTAAAAAATGTTAGGTTAAACCCTTCCCAGCTTCCAGAAGGCCAAAAACTACAGCAGATGGAGTGGGAAAGACATCAAAAGAAGCCATCAATCCTTCAAAAGCATTGGTATGTTCAGTTCAGAACATTGCTATGGTATTTGTGAAATTTTCATGTATATCTCTGAGTTGTATGAACTCGGACCTTTTCTTATACGAGTGACTTACATGGCTTCACTACGTATGGATAAAAACAAAGCATGGTACTCAAACTGGAGAACATGAGCCATCATCTTCCCTTAAGCTGTCCAAGGCATATGACCATGCCAACCCTTTCTCGCCTGGTGCTTCCAAAAGGGCTTCAGTGGTCGCAAATCAAACGAAAGTGAACAATAAAATCAGAAAAGCTGTATCTGGTAAAACTGTCATAAATTTTTGGTTTGGTCGTGTTTCATTTCTGCTTTACATAAAGTTGTTTTTGGATATTCATTTTTGATTGATGATTATAGGGCAGAACATATCAAAGAAACCTTGTATTGGTGACCGTGGTACTCCATCTCCAGAATCATCTTCTTCACGTTCCTATGTCGCCTCTAAAGATATTTCAGGATCTGTTTGTGGACACAGTGCTTCCATTGTTAGATCCCCAAGCTCTCTGAGAAGAAAAAATGATTTGGCTGCTTCAGACACAGGTGTTCGGACCCCTACAAGATCCTTAACCCTACACAAAAGCAAACTGATAGATTCTTCTCAGCCAATTGGTTTACAGTCCACACCGAATTCTCCGAGAGCATCACTTTTAACTTCCATTGACTGTTGGTCTTCTGAATCCTCAGCTTCTTTGGATCATGTCAGCACTGAGAGAAGTTGTCATTTACCATCCATTGTTTCGAGAGAAGCGAAGCCTTCTGGACTTCGACTGCCATCACCAAAGATTGGATTCTTTGAACCTGTTAGTTTCTTTATTGTTCTTTTGGGTTTAAACATCACAATCTTGATGTTGAGTGGTGTTCTTTTTCGCTGGCAGGGAAATTCCAAGGAATTAACTCCAAATGGTGTAAAGTTCCATTCTGGTTTGCACAATAGTTCTAAGACTAGAACTGGAACTAATCATCTCAATGGCACTCCAAATAGAGCAAGGTATAGTACGCTTCAATCACCAAGAACATCAACAAGAACTTTAAACTTGAAGGAGAAAAAATTGCGTTCTCAGCAAAATGGAATTCAAAGGTCTGGGGATATCAACCTTAATGCGAAGCTTGAAGGAGAGAAATCTAGTCAAGAACTTAGATCTTCTGGGACTATTAAAAGTTATCCTGCTTCAACTTTTATGCCTGAAACTGATCCAACTTGTGAGTCAAGCAACAGATTTGGATTGAAAACTGACAGTTCCGGATCACATGTGAAAGGAGACGGTAAAGGTAAAACTCAAGCTAAGAGTAAAATTGTTGAAAAGTCATCTCATGATCAAAACGAAGAGATGCACTAAATCGTGATGAAAAGAAAACTTATTTAGTTTCAAGAGTCAAGTGGATGTTTTAACTAAGCAGATTAAGGCCATTGATGTCAATGGGGATTAGAATTGTAAACTGGGATAGAGTGGTTAAAACATTCACAGTTTGTTAAGTTTTGATGCCAAATTCATATTCCTCCGATGAGCTTCTTATGTAAGGATTGTAGATGATCGTGATTCAATATATGAAGATTCAACATATATGAAAAATTACGATCTTCAAAATATATGAAAAACTAGAAAAAGAGTATATCCATATCTGATGCAAATCTATATCTCAACTCTCATCCTCGAGTCTGAATAATATAGGGTCGGAATGTGACAACATGGCTAATGGTACAAGGTTTTGTATTGGTAAGAAATGATTACCGGTTTTCATTGGTTTAAGGATAAATATCACACTCCCAGTGGATGGGAGACATATTACAGAAGTATTTAACACAATAAAAAGGAATTTGTCATCAGACCAAAGACAATTAGAATCAGCTATCTGGATCTGTCGAGGAACCGGGAAATTCCAACAAATTCGGACAAACACAGGTTGCAGCCATGTTCTAACTCATCACATCTACACAATAAGTTAGAAAGCATTAGAAACATGTCCCTGTAAGTTAATTTAGTTTCCAGTTCTTGGATGATCAAATGCTAAGAGTTCACACATTTATAATTGAAAATCATGTACCAGGAAACAAGTTTAAAAGAAGCTTTCGATATTCAGAGATGATTTTATTTACTATGTCTTTTATGCCTGGAATATTATGATCCAAAAATCATAAAGTTTTAAGGATATGTCAATAATCACCTTGAATAAGTCGCCAAACATCCCTTGAAGGGGATTTCTACGCTGTACACCGTAGAACTTTTCAGCAATTTCATCTAGCAACTGCACAATCATGTTTGTGTTAGAATCAGACACATGTAAGCTTTACTATATTCCAAACAGATTATGAAACCAATACACAAAAAGGAAGACTTAGCAGATATACAAAAGCATTGAATGCAGAACTGATTACACACCTCGTTGAATGAAGGTTCCCTGTCTATGCTAGACTTGTAATTCACTCTCAACATATTAAAAAGTGACAAGGCATCTCTTTCCAACCTGCATACAAAAGAGTCTTTAGAACAATTTATCAGGCCATGTTAAATTTACCCAACATGTAAAAAAATATGGTAGCCTAAATCTAAGCCGAAAACTGACTGGTGATTTAGTTTAAAAGTGAATAGAGATAGTTTTGCCAGATAGGTCAAAGTATAAAACACTAGTAGTTTCTGTCGAGAATATCTAAATTAAATATTAGATAGGATCAGTTTTAATTAGATAGAATCAGTTTTTATTCTATTAGTTATTAGATAGGATCATTTTTAATTAGATAGAATCAGTTTTTTATTCTATTAGTTATTAGATAGGATCATTTTTAATTAAATAGAATCATTTTTTATTTTGTTGCTAATTTTATGCATCTTTTTATGTAAAGTTGTTACATTGTAAACTATATTTAAATCAGCCATATTCAGCAGAAATAAACACGATTTATTCGGAACAAGTTTTTCCGTCTTTATGGTATCAAAGCCAAAATGGCCAAACCCTACAATGATACCTCTTGTATTGACTCTATGAGTTCTACTCGCTCACCTTCAATCACCCTAAACACTGAATCCTTCCAAAACATATCCATCACTTCTCACAAGTTGAATGGAAATAATTTCTTACAGTGGTCACAATCTGTGAAACTGTTTATTCGTGGCCGTGGAAAATTCGGCTATCTCTCAGGTACCACTACGAAACCTGCCGAAGAAGATGAAGAATCTGAAAGATGGGAGGCAGAAAACTTGATGATTATGTCTTGGCTCATAAATTCCATGGATCCGAGTGTAGGGAGAACTTATCTCTTCCAACCTACTGCTCATGACATTTGGAATGCTGTGAACGAGACCTATTCTGATCTCGGGAACGCAGGACAATGGTTTGAACTAAAAACTCGGTTATGGAGGCTAAAACAAGGAGAAAAAACTGTCACTCAATACTACACTGAACTCAAGACCTTGTGGCAAGAGGTTGACATGTTCAGCGACTACGAATGGAGTTGTGCTAAGGACAGGGCTCTATTCCAGAAGATGGTGGAAAAAGAACGCGTCTTCGAATTCCTTATCGGCCTTAACAAGGAATTGGATGAAGTCAGAGGGCGCATTCTTGGTCGTGAACCACTACCAAGCACAAGAGAAGTCTTCTCCGAAGTCAGACGAGAGGAGAGCCGACGGACAGTCATGCTTGGAGGCCACTCACCAAATCCCACCGAGTCTTCTGCCTCGTTCTCGGGTCAGCCACCACGTCGCAATGATCGTCGGAACGACAGAGATCAGCCAATCTGCGAGCACTGCAACAAGCCGGGACACACTAAAGCCAAGTGTTGGAAGCTACACGGGAAGCCAGCCGAGAATTTTTCAGCCAATCGAAATTCTCGTAATGCAAAGGGATTCCATGCCTCATCTGAAGATGCTTCTGAAGAGCCGAAACCTGCCTCAGAATTGTCTGCCTTCAGCAAAGAACAGCTAGAGCAATTGTATCAACTAATGAGTTCTCATTCCATATCCAACACTCCTAACCCATCATCTTATATTGCCTCTTCATCATTAGCCCAGAAAGGTACATATCCTACAGCTTTCATAGCCGGTTCTAAATCAAACCCTTGGATCATAGATTCAGGGGCAACAGATCACATGACCGGTAATTCCTCCATATTCTCATCTTATTTTCCTTTATCTGGTAATCTGAAGGTAAAAATTGCTGATGGCTCCCTAACCTCTATAGCTGGAAAAGGATCATTATTTCTCCATCTCTCACATTACTAAATGTCCTACATGTCCCGTTTTTTTAGTGAGAGAAGCTCCTGCTTCTCTCTAGTTTTTTAGGCGTTTTTTTTACAGCTCTTTCTTTGATCTCTCTTTTTGTCTTATGATGGCAAGTAAGGTGACTAGTTCTGCTGGGAAAAATTGTTTTACGGTGATCATTTTCAACATTCCAGAGCGTCTTCATCATAAAGGGCTTTGGCTGTTATTCGATAAACATGGAGAGGTGGTCGATTCTTTCATCCCTAACAAAAGAAGCAAGGGAGGAAGTAGGTTTGGCTTTGTTCGTTTCACCAGATTGGAGGACGCAAGGAAGGCTATCAACTGTGTTGACAGATCTAGGATTCGCGGTAATGAAGTTAGAGCTTTTTTGGCCAGATTTCAACCCCGGGAAGCTTTTTGGAGAAAGAAGTTTTCGGGTTTAAAACCAGCCGAGATCAAGAGTAAAAGGGAGGATGTTGGGCATTTAGAGGCTCCCATTGTGGGTTCTGTTGACGAGGACAAACTGCTAACTTGCAGAGGCAACTTGGTAGGGTGGTGCAGAAATTTTTTAAAGATGAATGTGTTGGCTGCCATAATGCATAAGGCATTTTAGGCCCGAAAATCATTGAGGCTAAGCGGGTTAGCAGTTCTAATCATTTTTGAAGATGATGAGAGTAGGGATTTCACGCTGAATAATCAGATGGGGGCATTGAATAAATGTTTTGGCAAAGTAGAAATGTGGTCGGAAAACTTTCATTGCAGCAGCCGTCGGGCGTGGCTTTCGTGCAAAGGGATCCCACCGTTCTTGTGGAATCCCTCCACCTTCAGAAGCATTGCAGACAAATGGGGAGAACTTATCTCCATTGACGAAGGATCTG